AGCACTTGAGTAAATGTAATTACTGATGTTTAACTGACACACAAAATCTAATTGCAGCAGCAGGGTGTGTTATAACTGTGGTTTGTAGTAGGAATGTCAGTTTAACTGCCATAACTAGTATTTTGTTTGTTATTGAGATCATCAATATCCTAAAGATACTGAGATCATTCTATCCACTTTTTTATTTAGCAGAGAAACGCCACATTCTTTCAGATGCTTCCTGGCAGTGCAGTGACCTTGTCACTGGATCACTGACCTAGATGATGAAAGGTAAATACTCTGAGTTTCCTGCTTCTCCTGACTGAATGTGCACTGGCTCCTCTCCCTGGACTTTCCACAACCAGGAAACTGCACTGCAAAGTAAAAACAACACGTAAAAGCAGCATGGCCAAGCAGAAAGGTTTCTCCTCCATCTCTAGTAACCATCTTTATCAACCTGAGTAGTTTTCTGTGTTAGTTTCAGAGTAAGTATTGACAACTTATGTTCAAAAGAAAACACATCAGGATTTTACTTAAGAACTGACAAAAAAAAGTTTAAAAGAAACAGCATCTTTACACTTAAGAGAAATATAAAGATGTCACAGACTTTGATAACAAGTACAATCACAGAGTCTTAGACTGGGCACAAACAAACAATGTTTTGATCAAATAAATACAATCTTTGACCAAAATAAATTGAGATCTTTTTAGATTTGCAAAGAGAAGATATTTCTATCACATAGATAAACCACAAAGGCTGTTGTGGCTTTGATGAGAAATCCACCCGTACTGTCCACTTTTCTTCTTATAGAAGCTACATTAAGTTAAGGAGGAAAACTGTGCAGGTAAATATCACAATTTACTCATAGAGTGTCTCACATCAAGTCTTCTTTCTCCTCTAAGTGCTTTCTGAGGAACAACTATAATGTAGACGCATGTTTATAAATGGACCATGTGCCCCCGGTTAGAGGCAGTGACTTGTTTCTCGCACTTTCCAGATTGTATAACTGCCTACTTCCTCTTTCTGCCCCGACCTCTCCTGCCTCTGCCAGCGGAGGGGCCTGCTCCTGCAGAGCCCAGCGCGCTGTCTGCCGGGCTGGCTCCGATGTTGATCTGTCCCTCCTGGATCTCACTGCGAGCCTCTGGAGGCAGGTGCTCAATCTGCTGCTGCGTCTCCAGATAAAACATCACATCCCTCAGCTGCTCCTGCAGCTCTGATATTTTCACATCCTTACGATCTCCTACAGAAAAACACAAGAGAACAAAGTGTTAGATTTATTTTGATAAAGAAAACTTAAATAACATAAAAAGTAGCTCCATAAAATCACTATGGATTCAGCAGCCAATAATAAAATAATAAAAATACAATTGCTTTCATGAAAAATTAGGAAACATCACGTAATCACTATGAAATGTGTTTGACGTCCTTTCACACTCAGATGTGTGATATGCTATATCTGTATAGCTTATAAATATGTACAACCCTCACTACTGGCCTCAAGGTCTGGTCTCCACACAGCGGTGTGAACTTCTGCCTACACAAGAGACTGAGTTCAACATTCAGACACAAGTAGAGCTGGGGAAAAGTGAGGAAACCTTTTCAACAAAGTCATTATTATAATCCTACATGAAAAGATGTGAAACTGAAAATGTGAATAATATATCCCACAAATTAGTTGGTGCAAAAACCCAACAAACAAAAAATAACAACCTACACACTCCTGCTGATAGACAGCTAGAAGCATCCTGTGTAAACAGTGTCCTCAGTGGACTAAGAGAGATTCAAAAGTTTGATCCCTAGCTTGGGAACAAAATTGGAACATTGTGAGAACATAATTATTGTGTTATGCTTGAGGTGAATCAGTTTAGAATGAACACACTCTTCCTGTTCAGAAGCGAACATGTCTGATCTG